CACATATATATATAATATATAATGCACAAAAATTTTACGAAGACAAACAACAAACATAAAAATAAACATCTCCATATCATATGAAAAAAATATACAAAAAATAATGCAAACCCTTAAACTACACTCTAAGCACTGAACCCTAAATCATAAATCCTAAACGCTATAACCTAAAACCTAAACCTAAAGCCGTGAACTCTTAAAGTGTATGATCATATAATTTTATTATCTAATAAATATTATAATAACAATAGTATAATTAAATAAGTATAAAAAAGTGAAAATATATGGAATTGATTATTCTCCTTGTATATATTTAATGAAGTTATGCATAGAAGCTGGTATTTCTATTTACAAATACGTTTATTTCGATTATTATTTAACTATATATTGGGGTATTTAGCTTAATATTATATACCATGATAAACATTTCATATATGTTCATATTTTTTGGTAACTATTTGCAGAATCTAAAATGTTAATTAATCAATGTAATATACATTATTCACATCTATTTAATATTTTTTCTTTTTATATTTCCATTTATTGTACAAGAGCCAAACTACTTATATTATTATTTTGAAAAAATAATTGTACAACTACTGGGACAGTAATTTTAGATTAAATTATTACTAATACTTATATCATTATTAATATAAAATATAGTGAAAGATGTTTAGAAGGTAATTTTATATATTATAAAAGAAGAATAAAAAGAAAAGACAAAAATAGCGTAAACTGTGCTCATGAATGTCCATATAATATAGGATATATATAACTACTGTATTAAATTTGATGCCATGTGTACATAAAAATAATATATTCTACAGTTTAACATTATATATATTATGATATTTTTAAATAATTATTTTCATTTATTAAGTCAATATCTATATTATTTTTACATAACATACCATATATTCAATATTTGTAAGAATATTTACCATAATCAGGGCGATATATATAAATGTTCTTATATGAATGTTATAATATACTGTATTAATTATAAACGTAATATTCTCCTAATGTGATATGTCTCTACGTTTACATTTACTGGTAGAATATGTTAAAATATGTTATTATTTGTATTCTGTCCTCTAATTATATGCATATAGAAAATATAATAATGATATTTTACTTGTAGTTATTCATATGACAAATAAAAAGAAATAATGAGAAAAAACATATTTACAGTTTTCCGTGATATGCTAAATATTATATTTTTATTTAAATCATATTGGACGTGGTTATTCTGTTCAATTTTTACACCACATATATAAGATGAATTAAAGCAATTTTCAAAATTACTACTTCTTAAAATAATTAAAAGGAAGAAATATGCTATCATAGAAATTATCATATATTTAGAACTTGTAATATAAGTAGAGTTACAAATAATTGGGTTATAGACATACACAATTAAATAAGTGTATTTTAACTTCATTGGATTAATATTTATTTTTATATGTCTAGATATATTATAAGAATTTCACTATAATTTTTAGGTCTCTAATAATCTATTTAATCTATCATATTGATGAATGAGTGATAATGAATAATAAAAGCGCAATAATATGTAATTAATTTCAATTAAATACATAGGTATGTTGAACAGTGTTATTTTTTAATGTATACAAAATTATATATATTTTTACACACAAATTAATTTTGAACAATAGTTTTACTATATATATGATAAAATGAAAATAGATATAAAGTGATGAGGGCTATTTAATAATATTTTTTTATGCATATATATACTAGGGTTTAATTCTATTAGGATCTTCCTAAAATATTTTGTTCTGATAATTTCTGTAAATATAAGTGTCCATTAATGATGTTAGCACAGAAATAGCTAATGTAATAAAAACGACAACTGCAATTCTTGAATAATTTTTAATGAATTAATATATTCATAAATAATGAATGTGTTAAATGATATATAATTAATATACTACTATATTCTGTGAATAATTATGTTTTGTTGTTCAATAATTATTTCATACATAGGGTTATGCTCCAAATAAATTTGCGGAATCATTTATTTCAAATAGAAAATTATTTTATTAAATATGCATATTTCTCATAAAATATTTTACATAGAGAAAAAAATATTTTCTATTTCATTTGGTTGTTTAAAATGCTGTGTTATTTTTATACAGATATTTCTTCAATATTCTGTTTTTTTTCTGTTTTTTTTTTTTGTGTAAGCATATATTATACATAATATTTACACTTGTTCTTCTGAGCGCTGTTATTTTTACTCTTATATTAGTATTACATAAAAACAACTAACAAATGTTTTTACTGAAAATTATTTTCCGGACTTTACGTCTTTTTTTTACTATAGACACCATATGAATAAATAAAAGTTGCTAAGGTGTAAAAGCACGAATATTGTATAATGATGAAAAAGAATGTATCAAATAATAAAATAAAAAATAGAGTAATAAGTCCTAATGAATAAGAAATATACGAAATGTGTATAATAACCGATTATATAAAAAATAAATTATAAGGACATTAGGAAGGATGAATTATTTATAAATACATATATAAACATTTTCTTATTCCCTAACACATTAAGGGTGTAAAAACGTTGAATGATTTTCCCCGTTATTGTATGAATTAATATTCCTACAATATTATTTATTATTTTGTTCTTTAAAAATGTATTCTAGTATTTCATATAAATAAAGAAAATATCATTATATCATTTTAATTTATAGATTATTTTGAGTAGCATTGATTATAATTACAATAAATTCTCATATCAGTTTATAAAGAAAAATAGCAAAAGCTTAAATTAAACATAATTATTATAGAAAAAAGAAGATGAATAAATAAATGAAAAGTTTTAGTACTGAGTGATTGATGATTACTCACTAATGTTTCTATTACTAGTTTGAGTGATAAGGATCTGTGTATTATTATTTAATA